TAAATAAGGTATCTATTTTGTCAGTAAAATATTATGTTTTTTATTAATAATTAAATTTTATTTTCATTGGATGTCTATAATGGGGCTCGGGCCCTGATTGGCCCAACAATTAAAAATCAACTCATTTCAAGTTATGTTAATATAACTCTTAGAATATGTAAGATTAATTATATAGTAAATTCAATTGTTAAAACTAATTAGTCCCTCCGCCTTCCGTCCGCCTATGTTTAGAATTTTATTTTACTAGTATAAATATATGTAACACTGTCTCTTTATTAGGTTTAAATGAGAATTTGACTTTTAATAGAACACAATGGAGAAAAAGGATTCATGTAGCCGACCCCACGTAGTGGGATAAAGGCTTGATGTTGTTGTTGTTGTTGTTGTTGTTGTATAAATGTATGTGCATAAAATGCATGTTGCTAGAAATAAATAGAGATATAATGTTAAGACCTACATGCCAATTTTAGAATCATCGGAAAGTAATATGCGTCTAATAAACTAAGAGGGGATGAACATTTTATTATGTACGGATAATCTTTAGCCTATAATCAGGAATTGTAAATTTTAAATAGCCATAAAAGAAAAGGCTTAGAACATCAAAGCTTAGGAAAATCAAGAAACTATTGAATTGATAAGACAACTATTAGTGTAAAACATGAGTGGAAGAAAATTAATTGAATGTCTAAACAGAAGAAAATAAAAAATTAGACTATGTTATTTAAGAGCAAGTGAAAGCAAACTCTACTACCACATAAATCAAGCAAAGCTGCAAGCAGAACGCTGCTCTAAATCTCAAATCATCATGCAACTCAGAATTCGGATAAGATCAATCAAAATATATATAATAATTAACATTCCCAATTTACAAAGTACTACAACAACAATAACAAATATTTATCCGACTACATGGGATTAACTGCATGAATACTTTTCATCCATTGTATCATGTTAAAAGTTAATTTTTTATCTAAATCTAATAAAAAAAATATTATTTTTAATACTTTCTAACCAAGTCTTTTTGGGCCTATCTATATCTTCCTTAACATAGGCCGAAACTAATACATTTACTCTACTAAGAAGATATCGGATTAAACAAAGTACTGGATAATTAATTTTTTTGGTGGCAAGATAGCTTCATTTTAAAATCAAAACTATCTAATCTTTCACATTCATTGATAACACATATTACATGATGATGCTAATAAAAATGGAGCATAAACAGAATCAATCAAGAAAACATAAAAGGCTAGCGAGGAAAATCACCAATAAATCCAATAAATCAATGGCAGCTAATAAATACTCCTATGCTTTTAGCTTTCGGTGAATCAACAAGCAACATGGAGTGTTAGGCCTCACCAAATGTATAGACCAATACTCAAATGGTGAAATCCAGCTATTCCAGCAAATAATTAAAATAGCTCTAGAAAAGGTTCAAGAGAGTGAAGAATAGTGAGGCTGCAGTAATTATGGAGATTGAAAATATCAAGGGAAACATCTTTTTGATAAGGGAAACATCTTTTCGGAAACATCTACTTCTTTTGATGCAATAATAAATAGATTAATAGTTACATTAAATTAAACAATAAAAACATGCAATTGGTTTACAAACACAAATCCTATTATAAACCAATTAAAGACATACAGGAAAAAAAA